TGTTTGTCAAAATTGTTCTAGATTTTAATAGGACGTAGCCATTCGTTATGTCGATCTATTTTAAGGAAAAAAGCAATTCGAGAAAATTTCGAGTTAGACGGTTAGAATTCTCTGCCGACGATATATTATATATATATAACCTTATTGTGTTGTTGCAAGTGCTGTAAAACTCTTTTTCAACAAAAACCACTGATGCTGCATAACTGTGACATTACATAGGTGAGACATCGTGGTGAAATCATGCTCTTGTCAAAATAACGAAATCAGAAAAAGAATAATTTTTTGGCCAGTTTGGCAGTTTTTATCAATTTTGAATTTTTTTTTTCAGCTCAACCCTTTGCATGTCCATATATAAACCCATTTAAATGTGAATTTTACTGAAAACCGTTGATTAAAAGCACAAATTATTTCATTCTTCTGTTTTCTAGAACTCGTAAACCATTGGAGTTACCAAACTTTGGCAGCCATTTTCTCGCTAATTTCACCACTAAAATCAGTAAACTTTACCACTTTTAATCGTACATATCTTGACTTCCATTCAGGATAGATGAGCATATTTTTCCATTGAAAGTAAGGCCAAAATTGACAAGCGCCCGATTCCACCGCGTCGTGACACATTTTCTAAGCCACATTTGGCTTGATGCGTTACGCGTTGGCTACAGTATTTCCAAGTACTGTACATGTAATAATATAATATTCATAATGTGTTCAGAATAATTGTTACCTCAAGGGTGCGGTGGCGGAGCGGATAGTGCGCGCGTCTCCGAAGCGGAAAGTCTGGGTTCGAGCATCGCTCGGTTAGGACACTGATTTTTTTTCGCCCCCTCCTGCCCACCCAGCAGTAATGTCTACCTGACTTCGAGTTAGGGGAGTAAAGGCGGCGTGGAAAGGAACGGACTACCGACCCTACCACAATTTGCCAAAGGCCCAGGATGTTGTCTCACTGACAAGGCAATCTACAATGTCCGGATCGGATGCGGGAACAACTTTACTTCTATTGTTACCTCAGCTTCTTGTCTTATCCGGGAACGTATGGGGATCGCTGTCTTCTTCTGGGGAGAATCCCATCCTCTTTTGATTACTACTTATGTTTTATGACCCTTTGACACAATTTAGAACATTTAGAAACCGGATAATATGATCCTCTTAAAATAACCTAAAAAATGTTTTGTATGAATACGACGTTTTATTTATATTGAAATCAAAATCAGCTTGATGAGGTCCAAGGTAGATGTTGGAGGGGCGTTGGGGGAGGGGTCTCTCGTGGCCTAGAAGTCAAGGTGTTCGGGTCTCATCCAAAGGTCCCGGGTTCGAATCCGGGTAGTGACGGAAAAAAATTCTTCTCTAAAATTGTTTCCTTTCCTGCTCTCTAGCAATATTCTGTCGTCTGCTTTCATCTCCATTTTCTGCCCCCACCTCGTTTGCTCCCTCTGGGATCCTGACTCTTTCTGCATTCTTCCTACTCCTTGGCTCCTAATTCTTACTGTTGTCTTTCAGCCACACCCCTGATCTTCTGGTATGAAGGATCTACACCTAGCCTTATCGTGCAAGTTGCGCCCGTTAAAGATCCCTTGGTGGTCTAAAAATCGATAAAAGTAGGCGTCGGCCGCCACCCGGGCAAAATTCAAAATTTCCTACCAACTGAAAATGTAGGTGTGTCTCGCACGCTCATATTATGACCTCTTATGCAGTTGCGAGTGCCGTAAAACACTTACCAAAATAAGCTT